ACCAGGTGTGTGGCAGAGAGGCCAGGTGAACATGTATATGAGTTTAATTTGTTTTATTCACACGAGATAGAAGGCTGAAGATAAGCACAAAAAACATAAATCATTGCCGGTCTTGATCACAGAACTGCAGAATGTTAAAGCTGCCTTCACGATCGTTCGGTCCAAATTCACTTTATAGATGTGGAAACTGAGGCCCAGAGGCAAAAGTGACTTGTGCAGGGCCATGAAGGTGACCGGTGACAAAGCCAAGCTCTGTTGCAGATCCCCAGCTCCTAATGAATTGATTTTGCTCTAGGAGCAGAGTTTGTTGTTTGAAGCACTTCAATGGAAAGCCCTGGCACAGAGTAATAAACGAACTTTTCTTCTCTCTTCCATTTCTCTTTAATATAAATCTAAACTCCTTTTATTTCAAAATATTAAGGGGGCACTAAAGCTCTTGGTTACATGGATTGTTTTGTAATGCTTGAGTCATGGCTACAGATGTGCCCATCCTCCCCATAGGGTTCACTGTAGGTTTTTTCCTCCTCTCCTCCCTGCTGCTTGATTTCCACTGGGTTTTACTTCCCTCTGTGCACGTGTGCTCACTGGTTAGTTCCAATTTAGTAATGAGTATGTGTGGCTCTAGACCCTTAAATGTTAGTTTGGGGCCCAGGTAGGCAATATTCACAGCTACCTGTGAAACAGAGTCCACATAAAATTTGGCTATTTATTATGAAAATTAATATCCTGGTTGCCATTAAAATATATACATGTATATAAGGAAGTACACGCAGACTTAGAAAGTGAAAACATCTCATAGCTTAGGGTCATTTATTCTATTAGGAACCTTTGGTTTTAATTCTGTGTGTCCTGGCTGATTTCCTACTGACATTGAAATTCAGAACCTGACCCCTGTTCAAGGCCAGGGCCTTTTCCTCAAGAGGCCAGGGCTGCAGCAGCCACCAGGAAGTCCTGGGTGACAGGACTCTATCTGAAGTTCAGGAGTATCACTGGCTGCTGCATTGACACTTCCATTGATGGGAGTGTTTCTTGGGGGGATGTTAATGACAGAAGAGTCACTAATTTCCATGTATTTTTTTTTCTCATGAAGTCAAAGTTCTGAAAAGCCATACCCAATTCTTATATTCCCTAACTGTATGAAATTTCCTTGATTCAGGAATTGAGCACAGCCACCAAGGTCCACATGTGTGATTAGGAGTGCACACACATACACAGTGTCACACAGAATACTTGATGACCTAGCAATTCCGCTTGCTCCTAGGTTTACATCTTTAAAAACTTTCACAAGTGCTCAAGGAGACATACAGGAATATTCATAGCAGCATTACAGCAGCAACGTAATACAGCAGTACCTGTAACAGCAAAGAAAAAGAACCAAAGGGGGGCAGCACCTGTGGCTCAAAGGAGTAGGGCGCTGGCCCCATATGCTGGAGGTGGCAGGTTCAAACCCATCCCTGGACAAAAACTACAAAAAAAAAAAAAGAAAGAAAAGAAAGAAAAAAGAAAAAGAACAAAAGGAAGGGAGGAGGGAGGGAAGAAGGAAGAGAGGAAGGGAGAATGGAAGGGAGTAAAGAAGGGAGAAAAACATGTAATGTACATCACCAGAAGAATGGGATGGTGATACAGCTATATGATAGAATATTATACATCAGTGAAAAATAAATGAATCATAGCTATATATATCTGCATGGATGAAGCCAGAAAGTTTAATGTTGAGCCAAAGTAGTGTGATATAATTTCAATAAAGTTTATACAGACACAAAAATACACCATGGTGCTCGGCGTTTACATAAAAATGTAGTCAAAATATTAAGCAATGCTTGGGATGATAAATCTCAAATTCAGGATTATGGTCTCCTGAGTAAAGGGCACTGACGGGACTTTCACTATAGTTGTCAAGTTTTATTAAAATTGGCAGTGGTTCATGAGGGTTTATCAGATGATTGTTTTTTGCATTTCACATTCTAAAATGTCAAGTAAAGGGGGAAAAAGAAAACACCAGGCAGCTGACCTCATTGGAAATTATTTATTTACCACTGCAAGTTTTTTTGCTCCGAAGTGTGACACCAGACATATGACTACCACATCTCATGCGTCTTTTTGTGCTTCGGTTCATGACTGCAAAACACACACTTAAGCATTGGACATCAGGAAACACAGAAGGCAGAAACAGATCACAGGGACTAGTTAGTTCAGGCAACAATGCCTTTCCCCCAGGACTTCTTTCTGTCCAAGAGGAATGGACCGGGAAGAACTGCTCTCCAGGTTTGTTCTCTCTGCCCAGCTTGGTTTGGGGTGACTTATCATTCAACCCACACAGAAAGTCATAAATCAAAATGGACAGACACGTGCAAGGTCTTGATTAATAAGCACTCAACAAATAGATATTGATTTGATGTAAGAAATGGAGTCCCAGGTTAAGGAGGGCTCCTAATTCACTATCCCCATACGCAGATCTCATGAAAGAACCTGACCCTGACCTTTTAGGTAACAACCCAGTCTGAAATCATCTCTCACTTTATTTTCACCTCTGCTTCACACCCTTCTTAGAAAATGTTCTCCGGCATTGGACAAGGTGTTCTTTTCAAGAACAATCGGATGTGTTCACATAGACTCAATTACTCTAATTCAATGTACCAGGTACAAGGTAAGCTGATGCAGAGATTACTAAAGTATTCTGACTTGGCAGTCTGACATCTCTGGGTAATTTAAAATTCACTAAGATGGAGTTTTGGTGGGAAAGTACAGCACTTCCATCCTCTTCTTTTGTTAATTACATTTACACAAGGAGCTATGAATTGTTATTAGGCAAACAGTAATACTCAATGTTATGAATTTCTACGCCCACTGCTGAGATGTCTGATGCCTTAACCGTTGAGAACTCAGATAGGATTCTATTTGTTATGCCATTTGCAATGTCTTTTTTCTGTATATACCTTTATTCCCCATCCATCCTTAAATCATTCAACAAGTACTTATGAAGCATCCATGAGTTAGCTTTATCCTAGGCACTTAGACACAACAGACAAGCCCCTTCAAACCCTTTCTTATTTCTGTATGTCCCTGCCAAGCAAGGTAATGGGTTACGCCTAAGATGTTCTGTAATGGAATATGGTTCCCATCAGGGGCAACGTTTAATTTGGATTCTGGAAGATTGAAACTTTAAGATCCCCAAAGATGGATGCTTCATGGGGGAATGATACTCTAGGATCAAGCGCCCTGCCCAGCCCACCTCAAATTCCTTTGACAGGACTATAAAGCTGGTGCATAGATTTACAAGGAAAGATAACCCGTGTTTCCTTATTTTTAGTCTAGAATCCAAACTTTTCTAGATTGGAGTAACAGATGTTACCAGAAAGAGAATGCTGGTCAGCTTTCGGTTTATATAAGGAACGTTTTGTTCTCTTTTAGCTGTGCTAACCCAAAAGAAGGGAACAGTGTGGTAAGAAGATCACAAAAAATATGTTATAGGAAACCACTAACAAATGCTTTTCCTAAAAACACTTGGCAGGGGCCAATCAACCTTAATGATCAAGGTTTCTAATTATCTTTCCCATTCAAGAGGGATTAGGTATTTTTTCTGTTTCTTCCGAGGGTGGGTAGAAGTTACTTCTAATGCTTATCTATTTTTGTATAGAAAGGAAAAATAATGACGGAAAATTCTAAGGCCCCTGCTCTTATTCTCAAGAAGCGGCCAAGGATGAATTGACTTGTTGAAGGGATGAAGCCCTTACCCACCTCACCTAGAAATTCTATCTTGGATCAGGAAACCAGGGTGACATCTGAAGGCTTAGAGTTTGGATGTTAGTAATCGAGAATCCCCAATGCAGAATCCATCCTGCTGGGAATGCCTGGGATGGTTCTGGTGCTTTCTGGACATTCTCAGCTGCCAACTTAAAGTAAAAATAGTAACCTAGCTTCAAGATGATCCGTTTGGTGGCCTCAGAGTTTGTTTTTAGGCAAGGAGTGCTGACAGCTTTGGACACTACTTCATTTGTCATGCCATTCACAGGGTTCCCTGCCATTCATCCCATTTCGCAGATGCAAACTGAGATTCTGAAGGGCAATGACAACAACAAAACCTAGGAATCCTGGTTCATAGGTGAGTAATAGGTCCACTCAACAAACCTCATAATTTAGATTTAATTAACAATGTGGACATCTACTTGGAATCACAAGGTAGGAATTCAAAACCTAGCTGCTGGTTATTTACCAAATAAAGTGATAGCTCCTGGAAACTGAGGGAGGAAGGAAGCACATTTGCAAAAGATCTTATTTCCTTTTTAAGGTTACCTTCTATCGCCACCTCCATATAACCAGACGTAACCAAATAACTTAATAACTGAATTCCTTCTGAAGTGACTGCCATGCTGAGAAGGGATGGATCTATCTCAGAGGGTCACTTTGGTGATGCTGGCAGATGTGACAACTAGCATTCAGAATCCAATGACTAACAGGACTCCACCTATACTTTGTCAGGGAAGGTCTCCTTCTTGATTTTAAGATAAAACAAATGTCTTCAATAAAAAGCACAAAATTCAATCCAAGAACAGGATCTAAAAAGCACAAAGTAAAATATGAACAATTAAAATAAATAAAAAACAGAGGCCCCCGATGGTTGAGGTGCCCAGCACTGATAATGGCTGCCCCATGGTGCTGGGACCCTCATCAAGGACTGTGGTTGAAAACCTGTCTAGGACGTTGTAGAAGGAATTTCTCCAAGTGCAGCACTGTGAATCTCTACTTCAGATTCCACCCCCTCCACCCCAAGGCTTGTTAGAAGTGAAGGCTCCTGAGCGTCAACCAGGAATACTGACTTGGAAGGGGGTGGGGCCAGGTGAGCCAAGGATCTGCTGGTGACTTTACTAGGTGACCGCCTCACCTGGGGAACTTTACTTAATGCTGCCCAAAGTTTCATCCCACCTGAACCATCTCCAATTCTAGGAGTTGATCCAGGACAACTTTTATTTCCTTCAGCATTTTTGGAAAGCTTATTTTTGAAAAGCAAAATTCTTCTTTGCATCCATTATTTCCCGAATACAGCTGGCCTAACCCTACCTGTAAAATGGGCACACGAGTTGCATTTGGTAAATGTCTCTCTCAGTAGCACAGGTGAGTAAATTGCATCCCTCAGTGTGACCCGAATGTCCTATGTCCACACACTGCCTGGCCTTGCTTATTTCTTAGAAACAGGAGTGTTATGAGAGGAAGGAGTCCTGGCCTTTGCCAACACGTCTGTCTCTGTCTTCTGGGTGGCAGAACGAGGACAGGGCACAAAGAGCAGGTTGAAAGGACAGCCAGAACTGCCCAGGAGGGGAGGCAGCCGTGCAGCTGGCTACATGTGTAGCTGATGCCACATGGCGATCTGCCGGCGTGGGTTTTTGAGCATCTCCTCCCAGTGGCTGCGCTCAGAGCCAGAAGTGTGCAGCCCCAGGCTGCAGCGGCCAAGTGCACAGCTCTGCCCCACCTCATCCTGGCCCAGCACCTCCAGCTCCACGCTGGACGCCCGCAGCAGGTCGTCAGGCAGCTCAAACATGATCATCTCATTCCACACGGGGTTGATCTTGTGCTTGGCCCGTTTTGTCTGCTTCTTCTTCAGCTTCTGAGCCTGGTGCTTCAAGGTCACCTTGACAGAGACATCTGAGGAAAGGAAAAGAGGGGGGAAAGAGAGAAGGGCCACCAGTGAGCTTCTGGGGACTGCAGGGCCAGATTGAGGTTTCCTCCTGGGGCTGGAAAGACAGTGTCTCTGGCTCAAGATTCGCATGGAGGATCACTCCCTGCTTACCCATGAAGCCGTGCATTCATTCCACAACTATTAAGTGCTGATCTTGTGACGAGAACTATTCTAGACACAGGGATACGGCAAAAATTCCTGTCCCTGTAGAATTTACACTAAAGTGTGGGAAACAGATAATCCCATAAGAGATAAAGCTAGACATTGAGTGACCCATGACTGGGACATGTTCGAGTGCCAACAGGGAACCACACTTTGCCAGGAGCCTTTCCACATGATTGCTCATCCCCACATCAAGCCAGATCCAGGAGTCCTATGGCTGGAATCTGAACTCAGATCAGAAAATCTAAGCCAGCTCAAATCTTCATCCCCTCCATTCTTGGTCCAAGCATTTTTGTCTATTCTGAAAGTAGTAGGTCCCCTGCTGGTTGAGTTTTTCTCTTCTGTTCTCTTGTAGGTTTTACGTGAGGACCCTGACATGGTGTGCAGCAGGGGTGAAGGCGGACTCCCTGTCCCTCAACCCTCCCTTCCCGGGCACCACACTAGTGGAACTATCTCCCAGGAAATCTAAAACGAGTCACCTGATCTGCAAGTCATGTCACATCACAAGGCTCAGACCGGATTACTTTCCCATTAGTTAAGGTTCCTAAAGCTAATGTGAGAATAATTGTTACTTTGTATTTATTGCTATAGTTATCACCCCGAGGTGGTTAGTTTGTTATCTCAGCAGAGATATTTGAGAGACAAAGTGTTGTGCTGTAATTGTCCTGACAGCACAAAATGTTGTGCTGTAATTTAAAAAAAGAGAGAGAGAGAGCAAGAGGCAGAGAATTGCCTAGAGTGGATAAAGAAACAGCATAGAACTCTTGACTTTTGGCTCAGAAATCTGCCAGCAAGACCAACTCTTCTGATTTCATTAGCCTCAAACCTATTGCTCAAAGATTCCTAATGTGGTGGCAATTCTTTATTTGTACCCCGCTATAGATAGAGATTTATTTATATCCTGCTATGAGCACTTGCCTGCTAGGTATCATCTGGCTGGCCAAGGCTGCTTTCCTGTTCTGATAGGAAAGCCTGTTTGGTCCCCGAGACTTGGGACTTGTGCTGGGGCATCTACAAGGAAAAGATGAGGTCTCCAGGCTGTTGAAGAGATGCTTATTTGGGTATATGGGGCACAGATGCCCTAAGCCTCAGCCTACATTCCCACATACCTTCTGCCATCACCCACATTCAGCTGGTACGGGGGTGGCAGTTGGCAAAAGCTGAGAAGAGAGAAGACTGCGCTGGGTGGGGGGTGTGCAGTGGTGGCTGAGACAGGAGAAGAACATGGGCTTCCTGACCCCTGCCCCAGAGGTGGTTCTAGCCAGGTTTCTCCAGCCGCCCGGGCACAACAATCCATAGCTGCAGTCCAGCTCTTGGCTTCCTGGTCTGACTACCCTGTCATGGTTAAGGCCAATGGCTCTTGTAGTGTACCTCCAAGGTAGGGAACCCCAGATGGCTCATATCTGGGTCTTGGTGATTGGAGTTGACCCAGAAGTGAATGAATATGGACTAAAGGAAGCAAGTGTGTCCTTCAAAATTGGTTTGTGAGCATAGAGTGGAAGACACAGCTGAGGGCGATTCCACAAATGTGCTCATGTGACACCTCTCTGCTCATCCATCCCCATTTACTCCCAGGTCCCACATCCTTCTGCCCACATTGACAGTGGCTGGAGTAGGGGTGGGGCCCTGGCTCTCTCCTCTCACACCTCACTCACCCTTTCCGAGGAGTTCCTTGGACTGGTTAGAATGGAGGTTCTTGGCTTTAATCAGCACCACCAGGAGGCGGTTGGCAGCTGGGAGGTAGCTGATGGACAGAAGGACCTCTCCAGTTCCTGCAGACGGCTCCTGAAATAGAAGAGGCAGTTCAGGAGGGGAGTACCACTGGGGGGTGGCTTCTGAGTCATCAAATAATGCTGAGGCTGGGGTCTCGCTGGAGTTATATCCAATGGGCATCCTAGAAAACACTTCCCTGTCAAAACTGAATTCTCCCCCCTTGCGGAAAGGAGTAGGGAACCGGGCTTGAAGAATGCACGTGCTTCAAAAGGAGTTTGTTTGGGTTTCCCACCAAATGTGATTTTTCACATATTATTTATTCAAACCCAACATATAAAACAGAACAAAGAAATGCCACTCAGGATGTGTCGGGGACAGAAGGCGAGGAGTCCTCCTCACCCTTCACCCACCCACCCCCCAACTCCTAGGGAAACTCTGAAACTCTAGGGCTTCGGAGAAGACAGTCTGAGAATCACTGCACTGCCTCAGTAGGGTCTAGAGGCAGTGGGGAGTTGCAATTCCTTTCTTTGTTGGAAAAAGATAATTCCTTCTAGCCCCTGAAGGCTGAAAGCGTCAACAAAGTGAAATAATAACGCTGAGCAGAAGCTTGTTTCCTCCATTGAGGTCTGGTCCCACAATGTCAGCAAAATGCTGGGGGCACATGATGGTAGGTGATGTGCCAGAGGGGACGGGCAGTAGCTGCCCCAGGAGACACTGATGCCTCTGTCAAGCATCCAAACACATCTGTCTCCTCAACTTTAGAGTATCTCCTATGAAATTCCTGCCGAAGTTCATTTGCCATTTCAACAAATCCATTACAGGACAAAAATAACCCAAAGGCTCCTCCTGGGAGGTGGGTGTTTGGTCACAGTCCAAGCTCTGGGGAGACCTTGTGGGGAAAAAAGGGAAGGGTGTGGGCAAGGTCAGTGGAAGGCAGTGCGTCTGTCCCTTCTTTGGAGCAGAAAGCAGAAGCACTTCCCTGAAAATCCTGAGGAGGAGGCAGACTGTGTGGCCTGCAGTGCCTACAAGGTGGGGGCGGAGTTAGGAAAGGGAATAGAGACGCTTGTTCTCAAGGGGCCCCAACTCTCAGACCTGTGCTCCTTCCCTCCAGCTTTGTTCCCTGCTGTGCAATGATGGTAATTCAGGAAGGTCTCACTAGCGCCAGGCTGGGCACTGGGTAATGGCCACCAACAGCTCCCTAGGCTCCCCCCTTCCTGTCACCCCTCAGCACAGGGGATGACGTAGATTCACCTGCTCCCTGGACGGTGAGCCCAGGAAGGTGGGAATCAGTTTTCCTTTGCCTATTGTGGCCTCCCATGGATTCTTTCATTCAGCAAGAATATATAAAGCACCTATTATGTTCCAGATAAACTGCAATTAAAATAGTGAACAAAACACAGTTGGCCTGCATGGAGCTCACAGTCACAGGGAAAGACAAGCAGGATGTGATTCAATATGTGACACTGGGCAGTGTTAACGCTATGAGGAAGTACAGATAGCAGGGATTACATGAGAAAATGCATATGGTAAATTCTTAACAAAGGTTATAAATGATCCTTTTAATGACAGTTGTCAAAACAACAAACTATTAATAACCCAGGACAAGGGCAGTGCTGAAAGCATAGATTCTAGAGCCAAGCTAACTGGGTCTGAGTTCCAGTTCTACCATTGGAACTGTGCGACCTTGAGTAAGTCCCTTAAGTTTTCTGTGTTTCCATTTTCTCATGACCCAGAAGATTCAATGTGCCATTGGTGACTAGTCAGATGACAAAATGATTTGGGAGCCTCAAGGAACCCTGGCGATGATGAACCGTAGCAGCTAACGTTTATTAAACACTTAGCGTGTGCTGGATACAATCACATTGTCCATCCCAGACTGGAAGCTTCGGAGAAACATCTGTTCACACATATCCCCAGTACCTGGCACATGCCGGGCACATAATAAATATTTGGGGGGGAAGGTGAGACTTCCCATGTAATCTTGACAACAACCCCAAGAGAGATTCTGACCTCTTCCCCATTTTAGGTATAAGAACCTGAGACTCAGAGATGGTGGGTGCGCTATGGCCAGAGGTCATGTAGGCGGGAAGTAGGAAAACAGCCTTGGCCAGAGGTCTGGTCTGACAATGAAGTCCAAGTCCTGAGCTCATTACTCTCGAACTACCTCAGTGGACAGTCCCCCCACCCCGCCCCGTCTCATTTTACAGTGAGGAACTGAGGTTGAGGGATGTGTGTTGGGCACCCAGCAGGGTGGCAGCGGAGCTGGGATAGAAACCAGCCTCCTGACTCAAGGCCACTTCTGAGAGGTCCACACATGGCCTGGGTGTAGCCACAGGGAGACCAGGATTGAGCCCTCTGCTCCCCCCAGGCCAGGTGAGAGGAGCTAGCACCTGTCAGCCCCTGAAGGGCTCTTCCCCTTTGTGTAGGGTGAGGCCCCAGACTGGCCCAGCCAGCTGCACCGCAGCCAAAGATTTTCAATGGCACCCGCCCCCTCAGCACTGCGGCTGAAAGTACCTTCCAACAAAAATAACCGCCTTTCCTTCTCCCTCTTCTCCCTGGTTCTCCCTGCCCCACTCTTTCTCTCAGGCTGTCGGTGACTCATTCCAGGCTGTCCTTGGAGTGGGTCAGTCTGTGGATCCCTGGTGATGCACATGGCACTTCTGACCGAATGTCTTCCGGTTAGAACTAGGGCACTGCTGCCACCTCTGTTAACCCATTCTGGCCTACAGAAGAAAAACATCTGGGTTGCAAGGGCCAGGGCTCCACTCACCTTGTTCAAATCAGCCCACGCCTTCTAGCTGGGGCAAAGGGCTTCCTGGTCTGCCTCGGGGCTCTCCCCTGCACCACACACCCAGGGTGTCACCTCCTACTTCTGACTCCACTGCACCCTCGGAGATTGCTCACATTTGTGGGAAACAGGCAAGTTAAAGCAGATGTGAGCACACGTTTGCAGAGCAGTAACAGCTGCAGAGAACAAGGATTCTTAGGATGGATGAGTTGCGAGGGCAGGGCTTCATCTTTATCACTGTTGCCATGTCCCTAGTGTCTGGCACAGTGCCAGGCACATGGTAGACACTGGGCAAGGTATTTGCAGAATGAATGAATGAGTGAGTGCTGCTCTCCTAGGAAGAATAACAGAAGTCGGCTGGGCGCCTACGGCTTCTGCCTGGACTGGTGGGACTGCAGCCCTTTGGGGTGATACCAAAGCCTCGAAGCCAGGCAGGAGAGCCTCCACATCTCCAGAGAAGGCTGGTTTACCAGCTTAATAAGCCAAAGTGTCAATTCCTTCTCCCAGGGCCCCCATCGGTGATTTCACACAAGTCCCAAATCACACACTAATTAGAGAGCGGGCTTTAGAACAGCTTAGTTCCATCTGAAAGTGGTTGTGATTTTTCTGTCAATTTTTGGAGCCTGGGAAAGAGAGAAAACTGGGGCAAGGAATCAATGGCAGCATCAAGGGGGGCAGGTGGGGAGCCCAGGTGCCCACTAGGGAAGTACCTGGTGGGAGAACCTCGCACTTGCCAGGTACTTGCGTGGCAGGTGGGGAGAGAGCCCAGCATTTACAGTCAGACTGAGCTGGCCTCCAGGCCAAGCTCTGTAGCATCCTCGCTAGGTGACCCCATGTGGGTTTCTGAACTACTGTAAGCTTGAGCTCCCTCATCTGGAAATACAGTGGTTGTGGTATCTCCCTCACTTAGCTGCTCTGCGGGGTGGGAGAACTCAGAAGGCCTGAGCACAGCAACTCATATGGGTAAGTGTTCAAACCCAGTTCACACTCTTTCACTGTAGCACTAGGGTTGGCAAACTTTTTCTGAAAAGGGTCAGATAGTCCGTATGTGGGGCTGTGTGGTCTATGCGACCTTTAGGTGAGGCACTGCCCAGCTGGTTGAAAGCCTGGTCATTTAGAAGCTTCCCTCGAGGGACCACAGTGGCACGCCCTTGGATAGGCTTTGACTTAGGGGCCTAAATAACTACGCGCCCTCCCGCGGCCTTGGGCTTCTCTGACCCCTCTGCTGTCCTGGCCTGTGGGACACAAGGTTTTTTTGCTCTCCAAAGTTTGTGGCATCTCAGCAGATCCTCCCTTCCCCTCCCAGCCTCCCAGCAGCAGAGAAGTGAGGAAATCATTCTGGGGCTGAGGGCTGCACAGATCACTAGGCTCTGGGTCTGTTTCCACCTAGGTCACTCCTTCAGAGCCCAGTGCAAACTGTGAACCAGACCTTCTAGAACTCTCCATCAGCGCACTTTGGTCAGGCCCCTCCTTTTCCTGGGCTGCACATTCTGTGAGAGGTGGGCTCACAGATGAACTGTGTGGAGCACAGCAGGAGCATAGGAGCACAGCTGGATCTAAATGAGTACAGTGCTATCAGCATTGTACCTACAGCCAGTGCGCACACAGCATGGCACTTCCTGTGATGCCACAGGGAGGTTTGGCATGGCCAGTTAGAAGCAAAACTAGGAGCAAACACCAGGAACCCCAAATCCTGGGTGACGGGTCTACTCCAGCCCCCTGACCTATTGAAGACTCCAGCCTTCCTTTCATCGCCCGAGCTGGGAAGGTCTCTGAGGCTTGTTCCCAGAGTGCCACCCCAGAGCTGCTGGGAGCATGCCCAGTTTTGCTGTCCCACACTCCACTAACAGGTTTTCCCTTGCTGGCTCAGAGGTAGCCCTACCTTAGCTGCAGTCTTCAGCTCACCCCACTGGGCAGCCCCCAGAGGCACAGACACGCCATCCAGGCCCAGGTGGAGCTCCCCAACCACACTGTGGCGAGAGAAGCGGTCGCAGGTCCTCAGGGTCAGCGTCAGGGTGGCCTTGGGGAGCTCCTCCTCCGCCAGGGGGAGCACCAGGCCCTCCTCCCAAGTGGTGTGCAGCTGCCGTTTCTTCAGAGTGGTCTGGGCCTCCACAGAGCCGGTCCTGTTGGTCACACTGCCTTGGACGTAGCAGTCACAGCCCCCGTCGTGGTCACTGGATAATGCTGCAAGCAAGGGGAAAGCAACACAGAATTGGGACTTCCGGAGGACAAGGGGAGAGGAGAAGCATGCCCTGCCTAGAGCTCTGGGATCCAACTTAATGGTCATGATCTTGGGTGTCTGAAATACCCCCGGGCTCAGTACCTTGGGCCCCGTGGAACTGCCTTTTGGTAACACATTTAGAAATGGCAGATCCTCTGAGGAGTCAAGGTCAGCACACACTGGTCTTCCTCAGAGGGGCAAGACATGCACTCGACAAAGCCCTTCCAAACTTGTGATTCTGAGATTTCCCCACGGTGCCGGGTTTGCTAAGGATGACTTTATTAGTGTTGCTGCTAATCGTGTGACTCGTCTATTCAGTATTTTCACATTCACTGTACAGGATGTGTGTGGTAAACATGAATCACACAGCTGCTGCCTCAAGAATGTTGTTATTGAACCTTATTGGTTTTATTATTTTTTATTTTTATTTTTTTGAGACAGAGTCTCACTCTGTCACCCTGGATAGAGTGCTGTGGCATCATTACATTTCACAGCAACCTCAAACTCTTGGACTCAAGCAATCCCCTTGCCTCAGCCTCCCAAGCAACGGGGACTGCAGGTGCCCACTACAATGCCCAGCTAATTTTTCTATTTTTAGTATAGACAGGGTCTCACTCTTGCTCAGGCTGGTCTCGAACTCCTGAGCTCAAGTAATCCACCTGTTCGATCTCCCAGAGTGCTAGAGATCACAGGCATCAGCCACTGTACCTGGCCCAAACCTTACTGGTTTTAATGCTTCATGATGAGGATTTGCCCAGAAATTTGCACCTGTGGTGCTTTGATGACTGCCTGTGCAATGACAATTTGGGAAGTGGTAGCTGACATTTCACAGAGAAGATGAAGACCTACGGCCATGTGCCCTAACAGTAAGAGCTTTCTACTGAGCTTCAAGGCACTGTTTAGCCTTGGCTTTATCATCAGTTAGATAGAAGATCAGAGGAAGATTGAGGCCAGTCTAGTGATATGTGTCACTAGACCTTAGTCTCCTAATCTGTAAAATGGGACTATTGTGGAGACAAAATGCAATTAAGTTTATAAAAGTGCTTAAACATCTTAAGACAATAAGGAAAACCACTCAAAAGACAAAATTGATTTTTCTGGCCCCAATGCCAGCCCTGATTCCTTTGCAAAGTCTTAGCTTTGTTGGTTATGTGAACTACAAAGTGAATTGTCAAGGAAGAGAGAATAAGGACATCCTGCCTCTTTCAGAGGGACTGCCTCATTCTTGAATTGCAAAAACTTTTCTGACCATTCAGAACATCCTGTCTAGCACAAAGCCTTGTCCAATGTCAAAGGCACCTATGTCAGAGAGAGCTAACTGTTCACCAAAATCTCATTTCCTCTTCCTCCTGGGGACCAGCTAGCCCACATTTCCCAGCTTGCTTTGCAGTTGAGTGTGGCCATGTGGCTGACTTACAGCCAATGGGATGCAGGCAGAAGTGATGTCTTCTGTGTCCAGGGAGTCTATTAAGGAATGGTTGTGCCCAAACATATGAAAAAATGCTCATCATCCCTAATCATCAGAGAACTGCAAATCAAAACCACCCTGAGATATCAAAGAATCCCACTCACTGGTCCCAAAGAAGAGCCAATCACAAGGTCCCAAAGCTACAGATGTTGGCATGGGTGCAGAGAGAAGGGAACACTAACACACTATTGGTAGGATGGCAAACTAGTACAGCCTTTTTGGAAAGAAGTATGGAGAATCCTCGAGGAGCTAAAAGTAGACCTTCCGAATGATCCTTCAATCCCATTACTAGGTATCTACCCAGAAAACAAATCATTTTGCCATAAAGACATTTGCATTCACAATGGCAAAGATGTAGAAACAACACAAGTACCTATCAACTATGAATGGATTAAAAAACTGTAGTATATGGATGCCATGGAATACTCTCCAGCCATAAAAAGATGGAAGCTTTGCAACTTTTGTATTTGCCTGAATGGATTAAGAGAACATTCTCCTAAATAAAGTATCTCAAGAATGGAAAAGCAAGCATCCCATGTACTCACTACTAATCTGAAACTAGTAGATCAACAATTACAGGTCCACGGGAGAGAAAAACATAATTAAACTCCAGGGAGGAGGGGGCTCAGTAAGTTCTCACCTGTGTGGTACAGTGTAGGGGTATATGGCGCACTTCCTGGGTTAAGGACTCAAGTACAGTTGGACATTAGATTTTACCTTCCAAACATAAATAATGTAACCTAATGTATGTACCCTCATAGGAACCCAAAATAATAAAAAAAAAGGAATGGTTGTGCCTTCTCCTTCTCTTTCTCCTTTCATCTGTCTGATGCAGATGACAAGGAGGTCTGAGGGGTTAGGGAACCACAGATGGGAGAAACACGGTCCTTGAATCACCACTTGGAGGAAAGATGTTTCCCAAGAAGGAATCCTTATTTTTAACTGGAGAGAGAGAGAGAAAGAGAATATCTTTAAGTCTGAGTATCATACATCATGTGTTTGAGTCTGGGGTCCCGGGCTGCCACTGCTGCAGACACCTGCATAGCTCCCGCAGGGGAGATGGCCACACAAGAAGCCCACGAGAGTCAAATAAGAACAGTACCTTCCAGACGGGTCACAAACAATTCTGCCTTCTGCTGGTCATAGTCCAGGCAGTAGTGGAGTTTGGGGGCCTGGTTCCAGCTGGCAGCCTTCTCTGGGTTCCAGGTCTCCATGACACAGACATCCTCCACCACCCCTGTCAAGAGAGCCAAAACCATCACTGCCCCCACATTGGGGTCCTATTTTCCTGATCAGACCTTTTCCATCTCTGTCACCTATGCCACGAACCCAAGCCCCAGTCTTCTTATCCACATGCAAAATCATGGCAGCCACACCAAGGTAATGCCTGTTATCACAGGCATTGCCTCTCAGGGGATGTCATAGCCACCAGGCTTTGGTGTTGGACATAATAGCTGTGTGACCTTTGGACAAGCTACTTGATGTCTTTGAACCCCAGTTTCCTCATCTTCACAATGGGGGTGATAACAGTTGCTCTTTCCTGGATTTCTGCGAGTATTAAATAGAACAAAGCAGGCAAAGTCCTTAGCCCAGAGCCTGGCCCTCGATGAGCTTTTAGTAAGGGAAACTGTCACAGCCTGTGCAGTTCTGGTGACCCTATTTCAGGCAAACCACCCCTAGCCTATCTCTGGTTCTACCTTTCCCAGTGCCTATACCCCAAAGTTAACTGTTGGATATAAACATTGAACAAGTTGGGAGAAGATGCTGGAGGCTAAGTCAGGAGCAGTGAACTTGACTTTACTGGATGTTCTATAAAGGTTTGCTGAGTGAATGAATGACCTTATCTTTAATTCAGAAGTCCCCCAAATCCCTAACATTGCTCACACTGCCCATCACTTGAACAGGAACCCAACATCTGGAAGATTCTCATGCGTTAAACATAATGTAAGAATTAAAAGGATATAGCAGCCGTCGAAGACTCCACATTCAGCAAACTGGAATTTAATTTCTGACTTTCAGAACTGATTTAGAGGGTAGAAATACGGAGGATTATTTAATTTCCAAAATGCTTCATTACACATATTAACTTCCTGCAAGTAGTAAAAATTTTCCCCAGTGCATCTAAGAAAAGAACAGATGGCCCAGGATGTGGCCGAGATAGAAAGCAAGACGCACAGGTACACAGGCCCATGTGGCTTCCAAAGGAGTCACACAGACAGTGGCAGCAGTGGCAGTATTAGAACAGGCTTACCTGGCACCCAGGGTCCTGAGCTCACAGATAGCCTCAGCCTTGCCACCAAAATCAGCCCCCACTTATCTAAGGTCTCTAATTAAGAGCTGGGGGCTCAGTTTGGGTGCAGCATTGGCAAGCTGACCCTGCTGCTCTCCTCCCTGAGAGGGACTGGGGAGCCAGCACAACTAGGAAACGGAGGAGCAGTCTCAGCTTCAAGAAACGGGACTTGGAGCTCTACTCTACTGCAGTGAGTAGTGAGGATTGTCACTGGTGGAGTGGACCACACTTGGCATATCATGGGGACAGCCACTGAATGATCTGGATGTCCTCTCTTATGCTCTTTTGCCTCTGGTCAGTATTTGCTGAACCAATCAACCCATAATAGATTTCGTTGCCTTCTAGGGTGGGGAAGAGAAGGAGGAAACATGAAATGTGGACTGAGTTTTCCAAAGTTTGACACTCATTTGTTCTCCTGCTCTCCTTGGTGAGAAGTGTCCAGTCCTGGCTTTACCCAAGCTTTGAGAAATCTGAGGCTCCCAAGAGAGGGCATTAGGATTATGACTATGGTCCCTCAGCCTTAAGCTCTCCAGTCTTACAAGGTCTATTAAAAATCTGTTTTATACGTGAACAGGCAAACCTGGAGGCTTTTAAAAGCCAACCCGGATTCCTTCATGCCACAGGCTCTATATGAACTTGCTCTTGAAATGCCAGGATCGTCACTGTGGTTCTGGGCCAGGGCATACAGGGGGTGGGGAGGGACACTGGCCACAGGTCAGCATAGGGCCTGGTTGAATCCAAGCCAGGAGATGCATTAGGAGTGGGGTCAGCATCAGGGTGCTTCTGCAACCTCTGCCTCCTTCACCGACCACACAAAGCAGAACCCTAGACCACACAACAGGCCGCCCTCCTGGTGGCTCTACGTGTTGCCTCCCTAAATGCCTATGTATTCCTTCAGGTTAGTGACTGTGTCCCTGTCCCAGTGCCTGGCACAAGTGTCAAAGGTGTTGCATTCACAAGACAGGCGGTGATAAAAAGGAGAATAAAAACAATAACGATGTGTTTCGATTATATCCTTTGTACCAGGCCCTGAGTTAAACATTCTGTATTAGTCTACCTACACTTTACGATCCCATTTTATAGATGAGGAAAGTAAAGTCCGAGGAGGTTAGCAGCACAACCAGTGCCACACAGAAAGTATGTAAGAAAGGCATCAAATTAGACCCATGCCTCTGAAGTGCATGGTTTTATCCATGACTTTTTATCCCTCTCTGCAGTGGCACAAACATGACTTGAAAAGGACTCTCCTGGTGGGAAGCTGGAGGTATGGGGGAGAAGCAATGTGGCAACATGTCCATGGGGATAAAGGACCATAATTCTAAGACCCAGTGCCCGCCCAGTTGCGTGGTGACAACTGCCATGGACACTGGGGCTCTCCGATGGCCCACAGCCAGGCCATGCACAGTGTCTGCGGAGGCCTTGACAGACCCCATCTGAGTGCAGTCCGCAGAAGCGCTAGGACGCAGAAACCCCTACCATTCTGAGGAAGGATGAACAGCTCTTCTGTGACCTGCCTCTTGAGGCGACTGTCACTCGGGGGCTGGGGACTGGCAGGTGCTGCGGGCTCTTCCGTAGACCTCAACGTGTAGTCTGCATAGTTGATGACCTCTGGAGCCGTCACAGCTGGCCTGGGACCATAGATGTCTGGGAACTTGAGGAGGGTTCGGGGCTGGACAGGTTCTGTAGATTTTTTAACATTAAACTGCAAAAGAAAACAAATCACTGATTAGTCCATGAGGGGACTGGCTGCCTGTTTTCCACTTGTGGAAGGGAAAAGAAGTGAGCTGAGCTTTCATGGGAGGCAGGGGTGGGGGGGCTCCATTCTGCTCCAAGAGAGGTCACATTCATCACCAAACCCACCAGAATCCACAACCCACTGAGATTTGGACCCCGTTCAGCCACCCCTTCCTCCATCCATTGGCCCACCCAGCCTATGGCTGTGCCCACAGGCATTATGGGCCTGTCCCGGGTGGCCCTCACTCTGTCACTCCATCTGTGCCCTTTGCTTCTTCATTCTCTCTCCTCTTACTCTGCCTCCTCTTCTCCACCTAATGGCTCAGAAATGCCAGTGGCTTCCACCACACTAGGACCAAAATCCAGACTCTTGGCAGCAACCCATGAGAGCTTGCCTCTCCTGGCCCTGCTCATCCCTCTGACATTGCCCCAAAGCCTTTTCCCTTTGCTCACCTGCAGCCACCAAGTCCCCTGCTTCTCTAAGAGGCTGACTCTTGCCTTAGTCCAGCTTCCCCTAAACTACCCCCGCCAACTCCGCCTGCTCCGTGCATGGCTGGCTCCATCTCACATCTGAAGCATCACCAGAGAAGCCGTCTCTGACCTTCCTATCTAAATTAAGTTCCTCTCCCAAGCCAGGCCTGCCCTATCACCACATCCCACTCTTTGCTTCACAGCATTGATCTCACTCTGTTTTGGCCACGGGTTGGCCTGCTTGCAATCCATCTCTTCCACTAGAACGTGAGAGCCATGAGCTCATAGATTACATCTTGTCTTGCCCCTGCTGTGTCCCTGGTGCCTAGCATAGTGTCTGCCCACAGGGAGCCTGGGATGCATACCTGTGACTAGGGCTGCCATGTTCTGTTGTATGACTTGTGCACTGCACAAAGGCATCTGGCTGAGGGCCAAGTAGGAGGCCAGGATGCAGCTTGTGTACCGCTTGTCCAGGCATGTACCCAGAAGTAGGGCTTAGTTATTTGGAAAAAAATAATCTTTCTTCACACAAAGACCTGCCTATTTGCCAAGCCTTTACATGGAGCTGCCTCACACAGAGATGAGGAATCTTCTGTCTTTGCTTCCATTAGGCACTGAGCTCCCTCCTACCCGAGGGATTCAAAGTTAGATGTAGAGTTTGAAATGAGGGCATCCTGGGTGGCCACAAAATGATCCTCAGGGTAAAGTAGGCAGGGAGGAACCCACAGCAGCATCACCTAGGAAGCCGCCTGACTCCCCTTTCTGTGGCTCTCTTCAGTGGGTGGCCAGGGGTCAGGCTGCTCTCGCCAATGGCAGGAGTGACCCAGGACAGGGAAGTGTGGGGTGCGGGGTGGATGCAGTCTGCAGAGGGGAGGTGCTTAATACTTTCATGTTGTGTTTATCACATTTGTACTTTCTATATTTAATCACCCCAGGATAAATCCTGGACATTTGGCCCTGGTTGAGGCTCTGTCCCCAACCATTCCTGAGAGAGGCTGGAGCTAGGTGACAGGGGCATTCCTCAGTTGGCCTCTTTCATGGGACAAATGGCTGGGGTGTGCACAAGAAGGTACCAAAGGGCCCAAAGAGAGGAGGAGGAGGAGCCAGTCCCTCCCAGGCACCCCCTTCCTGCTGGGCCCCATCAGTTCTGCCCCTGCATGAGCACCTACCTGTGTTTGCAGTACTCCCCTAAGAGGTAAGGTTATTAGAAGGGAAAACTCAGGCTCAGAGGGTATAACTCGCTCTATTCTCCCCTCAGAAACACACCCAGCAGATCATAACGCAACCCAAGCAAGGAGCGGACCCATCCTGATCACGGCTGAGTGTGCCCGGTGAGTCTGGGCTCTAAGAGTGTTCTTGCTTTTCTGGGGTGAACTTGCCTGGGATCACACAGCTGGTCAGGGCGGCAGTAGCAGGAAGCCAAGATGAGCTGGGTCCAAAGTGGCTCTCAACCCTTGTCCTGCCTTCAGATCTTTCCCAAGCACAACACCCCACCACAGAATGTGAATGACCCTGGCAGCTGGCACATGCTACACACAAAGTCTGGGGAGAAAGTCTGTGCTCTTGACACCAGGCAGCCCAAAGTCCTCAGAAGAGATACAGAACAATGACTAAGGTCCCCTGGTGTCTTTCTGTCCTCCACAAAGTCACATCTACTCTCAAAAATCTCATCTAGGTCCAAGTTGTGTTTATTCTGTTGCACAATGAGGAAACTGAGGCCCAGGGATGCTCAAGACCATAAAACTGGCAAGTGGTACTCATCAAGATTCCAGATGTTTTGACTTCAAATTTTGTGCTATTTCCACCGCCTACAGATGCTCCTCAAAAATAACCCCCAATAAACTCCCATTAGCCTTGGATGCTGGATTCTAAGTGGCAGTCACAGCATCCTGGGGTTCTGACCTAGGGTGCTGGCCACTGCTGGCCCCTCCTATCCTTCAGTACAGAAGAGCTCCCAGAGGCTGCTGGACCCCAGCACACCCCTGATATAGGGTTGCCCTGTGCTGTCACATGTTGGGACCACAACTAACACTGCTCGGGTAGTTTGGGAAACATTGTTGTGTATATATTTGGGTTTCATGCAGTTTAATTATTTGAGAAAAGGGCTCGAGTTAATTCTCAGTTGGATCCAATTGGGCTGATTTTGCATTTTTACTGGGAAATTAACCACCAGCTCAGCTATGAGTGAAATTCAGAGTTGCCCCGAGTCTCTGCTGAGCCTGGGTCTCCATTTGTAGGTCTCATATTTTCAGTAGCCTGTTACAAGGGCTTAAATGAGCAGTAGATCAGGGTTTTCTGGGTTGTCCACCAATATTTGTTGTCTCTCCCCTCTGCCTTCCCTGCATGTCACCAGGCTTTCTAAGTTCCAACCCACCTCTATCTCCCAGAGTGAGGTTTGTTTGTTCTAATCCTACTAGTTCATGGCATTATCTTGGTGACTTTCTGGCCCAGGGGTTGGCACCTACCCTAGAGAAGCCAACCCAGATGGAATGGAAGGACTTGCATTTCATGGTAGCAGAAGAGGTCCTCCCTCTCCCCAGATAGGAAGCATGTTTTCCTGCCTTGTGACTGCAAGTTGAGTCAGCCTTGGGACAACAGAGCACAGACAGAAAGAATCTACGTCCCTGGTGAGAACGTCATGAACCTACTGAATCAACCGACCTTGTGATCTGTTGCACTTCGAGTTACATGAGCAGTATTGTTCTTGGTTAAGCCAGTTAGAACAGGGGTTTGTGCCTTGTAGCCAAGAGCAGCCCAAGCTGATACATGGCATTTCCAATAAGCATCACAGGAGACCATAGCCCAGGTGCAGAGAGACCAGGCCTGGGGTAGGACACCGTCCCCTCTTGAATCTCTCTGCATTCATCCTTACTTGTTTAGTCTTATCCAGGCTTATCCTGTGTGGCAAATGGCTGCCATTAGCATGGAATGACTTATAGCCCTTGCCTGGGCCAAGAGCAGAGTCTGAAGACAGGGACACGTCACCCAGCACAGCGCTGATTACCTATCTCCTTCTCTTGTGCAATCTTATTTATTGCATTTCAAAAGCCTGGTTGTATCACATCTTTCACATGCATCTATAATTCCACTTACACAGCTGAAAATTCAGTGCCACTGAAGCAGAAAAGAGGTTTGGGTGGTGATGAAGGGAGCCCAGGATGAGATTATAGGTGAAGCACAAGAACGTCTGGGGAAGGCAGAGCTCAGGGGAACAGGGCCCCAGAGAGAAACTGTGCTCCAACTTCACACTGTGGGTACAGGTGGGCCTGGACTTAGAATCAGGGCTTCTCTGTCTACATGTTCCTTGAACCCCAGGAAGAGGTGTCGGGGCCCGGGACTGGCCAGGTCTCTGGCCCCAGCCTACCTAACTGTCCGGACATGGACTACTATGCTACCTTGCTCAGGATCAACTCTCTGTAGGTTGCCAGAGGGCAATTCGCCTAAGCAGGAGAGAGAGAGAGAGACAGCCTTGGAGGAAGAAAGTCTTAGTAGCGAATCTTAGCAGTCTTCATAGAAAGGTGCCAAGCAGGCGCCCTCCGAACATGAGGAGCAAAAGAGTGAGCAAGTCCATGAGAGAATGAACCCGGAATAACCTCTCCAGCAGCTACTTACAAAAGTGGTCCCATGGCTATTTGCACCACAGGCATGGAGCATCAGTGCACAAGCACTGATGCTCGTGCTCTCATGCTCTTGTGTTAAGGAGAGCCGAATCCCTTCCCCATGCCCTTATCACCAAGGCGTTATTATCAAGATGTTATATCACAGGTGTTTCTTATAGCTACAGAGCGTTCAAAGCTTAACTCTCGCTTCTCCTTCCCTTGAATCGTCTGGCCTCCTACAAAGAGGACCTAGGAAATACATTTGCAGGATGAGTCAGGGAAAATTTCCAGTGGGGAAAAGCATTCCACAATTAGGGAATAGGTGCCCACTGTTCCCAGCATTACATGTCCATCTAGACAGAAGAACCTCATCCTCAGATGGTCCATCCGAGCCATCTGATGCTCCTCCCAGCCTCACCTGTCTCTGAGACCTTTGCCACTTGCTCCTCCTACCATGGCCGACTCTGCATGGACTCCAACCAGCTTCATGTGGGCACAGCCCCACAGGGCCTCACATTACCTCCTCTTACCTCCCACCCTAGGTTTCTCCATGGCCACTGAGGTAGGAGACACCAGGGACACCTAAGAGCAACCCAGATGTGCAGAGTTAAAACTCCACAGAGGAACTCAACGAGAAACCAAACAACTGGATTCAAAAATGGGCAAAGGACTTGGATGTACAAATGGCCAATAAGCATGTGAAAAGGTACTCAACAGCACTTATCATCAGAGAAATGCAAATCAAAACTATGACGAGATGCCCCCTCGTACCCATTAGGGTGGCTCCTATCAAAACCAGACCATGACGAAGTCAGCACTGTTGGTGGGAATGTAAAATGTGCAGCTACTGTGGAACACACAGCTCCCTAAAAAATTAAAGAGTTACCATATGACCCAG